AGTCCCAGTGTCCTAGATGGGAAGAATAGCCTTGAGTTTGTGCGCTCTGTGTATTTCTGCTGTACCACTAATGATATTTGATTTTTATAAAAAGTCTTTATTCTTGACTGGGTGGCAAAACTGAAATAACATAGTCACATGTCTTGTTAAGCTTTTTGCATTCTTAAATGTTTTATTCCCAAAACTGTGGGTTTGTTCTTGTTTTGGGGGTATAGGGTGTTTGTTTTCAAGTTCTACAGCATGGCTTCTATAAGGTACTTCACTTATCTGTTTCTTTGTATTCTACAATCGTTTCTTGGAAAGGAGAGAGCAGTGGTGGGTACTTTCCGTAATATCGTCATTTTTTTGGACCAAAAACAGAATCTGTGTGCTCCAGCAGTAGGGAAGCTTGCTTGGTTCTGCAGACTCAGGATTTTTCTAGAGGGTTTGCAACATCTTGCCTGAAGGTACAAAGGTGCATAATTATTTCTGGAAAAAAATGGAAATACGTTATGATAACCTTGATAAAGGCTGATGGTTCTTCTGCAACAACAAGAAATTTCTAAGAATTTAGAAAACATATTTATAATCCCTGTTTTAAAAGGGTGGAAACATATATTTCTAACAACTGGATATGAAGCTTAGTTTAGGAGAGTGTCTGATGCTTGATGTAAAATGTTTTGATACAATTTTTTCTGTTGTGTTTTTTTTGTTGTTGTTTTGTTTATTCTGATTTATTTCAGTTAGAAATGCCTTTCCACTCATTATCTTAAATAACGTATTTAATAATTCTGGTGTACCCAGGCTACCTTGTTCTGATAAAGTATTTGAGAATTATGCTGTGTTTGGATAACACAGGAGAAAGCAGCACAGAGTTATGCTTCCCGTTCCCATTTATGAATCTTGAAACTGTTAAAATCAGAGAGATATGTTTTTAGTTTTAGTGATGTTTTTAGGCTGGGTTTTTTTTTAACCATCTATTGTTACAATTCTTTCTGCACTTTAAAAATATTATTTTGTTATTTTGAGGAGTACTGTACAAAAATCTGGGAGAAACATTTATTTTAAAAAGTGTGAAAATGGAATTGTTTTGTCAGGATGATTCAGAGGCAGATGTGTCTGAAACTTTAAAACAGTCATGTTGTATTTCAAGCTTGTCTGTATTTACTCTTGAGAACTGAATTTTCGTTGTTCCTAGGATTACTATAAAGCTGCTTTCAAGTTAGGAGACCTCTGGAGGAGGTCTTAGTAAAAGATGCCCTGATACCCTGATGTGATGTGATGTGTTTTGTTTTTTTTAAATTACCTTAGAAAAAGAGATTATGATCTCTGATAGTTTACTGATAATATTGTGATGAGATTATCTGCTGAACACATAACCGTTTCCAAAATGTTACTCTGCATGTTCTGCATATTTGAGATTGCAAATTTGTGCCCAAGCGCCCAAACTGTTAAACATAGCGGTTTTTGGATGTCAGGTTTCCTATCTTTTTAACGTGTTCCTCAATGCCTTTTTGCTTTCTTGGTCTGTGCAGTGACACCTATTTTATTCCACTTCATTGACTTTGCAACTGTTAATTTGGCATTGTCCATGTGAGGAGGGTTTTAGAAAGCAATCCTCTCTCTCCTCCTCAACTTGCCAGTGTGTCAGCTCCATTACTCTCTTGGTTTTTGTAGCTGTTTCGAGATCAGTTGACAAATTCAGTTCTTTTGGCTGGGGGTGCAAGTGGGGGGAACTGATCCACTTGTGTGCACATGTGTCTTGTAAAGAATTTTTTTTTTTTTAATCATCTACGTTTATTGCCAGACTCTATCAGTTTGCTGGCTCTGCAAGATTGATTGCTTCAACCACAGGATGTTTCCAAAACTGATGTCTGATGCTGTAAGCTTCTGAAGTTAAGGCATAAACAGTAATTACTGCAGGGAGGGACTGCTAAAGGAGGATTTTAGATATAGGAAATGTGTATTGTTTGTCTTTTGGATCATTTATAAAACTGAAGGTTGTACTGTATGTGTTCTTTAAAAATCCTAGGGCTTTCTGCATGCAAGTATTTTAAGTAGTGACTGGCCAAAATCCAGACTGGGCAATGATGTTCTCTCTACCTAATGTTCCCCCATAGCTTTGGTTGGATATGGTGTCTCTTAGTTCACATCCTGAGCAGTTGAACAGCATGGCTGTGTGCAGTTGCTACATCTCACCCCAGCAGTGGCTTAATTTGGGGGGGTTTAATGATTTGTGTATGCATAAATCAGGCTGCAAAGTTCTCTGGAGCCCTTCTGGATGGCAGGTGTATCTAAGTGTAAAGCTGTCATTAGCAGGAGCAGGTGTTTTGGCCTGGCAGGGAAATAGAAGGGCTTTCTAGAATTGTGGGGTTGTTTTCTTCTGTCAGCATGCTTTACATTTCTGGTTTTGTTTCCAAGATTAAAAATACAAATGGAGAAATGAAATTAAACATAGCTGTGTGGCTGAGCAGTTCTGTAAGTCAGTCTCTTAAAGGAAACTCTACTTCCAGTAGCACAGATGTTTGTTTGTGCGGGGGCCGGAGTCATCTCCATGACATGTCTAACCTCAACCAGACAGAAATAGTAGAATTCATGAATGAACTTTTTTTTTCACCTTTTCCCCATTGGCAGTGCTTAGTGCTGTTACTCTTATCACAGTGAGGCGATAGACTTGTGTGAAGACAGAAACAGTAGTTAAAATACTAACCACTCTTTGCATAACTGCATGGCTGAAATGTTCCAGCACACAAGTAGAAAACATGAAGAAACTCAGACTTGGGGTTGGTGTATTGTATGTGTACATTCCAAATATGTAGTCCCTGGTTGTGTTATGTTGAAGGTTTGTTTAGGGGGAAAGGATGGGGGAAATGGGTTGATGCAGAGGTGCTATAATTGTGATTGAATATGAAGGGGGAAAGAGAAAATTACCTGCCCAAATTGCTGCTTGTTGAGTTCTGAGATTACAGGTTGTCTGGATGTATGTCATGAGTATCCTTAATTTTGGTCGTGTGTTGTAGAACTTTTTGGATAACAGAGGTATGCCTGAGTGTATTTTATTTGCTTTACTGATCCATTTTAAAGATCTCATTGGATTTCTTGCATCTTTCTGCTCTGGACCCTGTTTATAAAGGTCCTTCTATTGTCTTCAGTCTTCATCCTGTTTTTTTTTTTTTTTTTGAAAAGTCTTTCTGTAAGCCTAACAAAGAGGGGGATTGTGTGTTTTGATACTCTGTCATCTCTGTCTTCCCTAGTATGTCCGGTTTTCTTATTAGGGCATAAACTCATATGGAAAAAGGAGTCTTTTGGAGGCAGGGGAAAAAAGGAAAAACTGTACATTTACAAAAGGAAGTAGTAATCTTGATTTGTCACTCTGAGAGCTCTGAAGCAATTATAAGCAGCAAGGGTGACCTGTGTATTCATCCATTAATGTTTAGCAGCAAATTTGGAGCTATTTTTTGCTCTTGTTTTTGAACACTGAACCGTGATTTTAACTGTGAAAACCACAACATGTCCTCCAAACGTCAGTTTGTGTGGATTTCAGGCAGGTAAAACTATTTGACGGGTTGGGAGTCTGGCTTCCAAGCTGATCAAAATGACTAGAGGTACTTAAATGAGAAATTATACAAAAGACACTTATTCCACTTGTGGAAATACTACTAATTTTTTTGTTAAAGAATTATTTCTGTAATGAAATGGAATGATACAGACGTCCTGATATATAACCAGTAGTCAGTCCATTGTGATTTGTCTTCCTATAGCTTCATTGCATAAAATGAATGCAGAATCCATATGTAAACCATGAGCCAGGAATTAAAAATTAAATGCTGATTGTTGCTCTTCTAACTTTCTCTAGCAGAATAGCACCGATGGTGAACTTTGGCTTTGTTATTTTGAGCACAGGTTCATACTTTCAGTATTCTGTTAGTATGAATCAAAACAGGATCTTACGAGGTACGACCAGAAGTTAATTTTTTTTTTAAAGCCAGCAGTCACTTGTGTTGCTGTTTTTCTTCACCTCTTCTTTCTTCTCTCTTTTCTGTTCTTATCATGTTCCCTACCTTTTTTTGTATGTGTGTGTTTTATTTTGGGGTGGTTTTTATTTTTTACCTTGACTTCCGTCTGTCCCTGGGATGTGGCAGAGCACTTTATTGATGACCTGTGTAGCCAGAACCTTTGAGGTTCAGATTAGTTCAAGGATCATCTGGCTTTCATGGTAGTTCAAAGGAGTGACTGTGGCACTTAATACAAAGGATCCTGAGACACATCTGAACTCTGAAGATGCCAGCTATAGAGGGCACAGCCGCTTCAGAGGAAAAACTGGGGGGAAGATGAAAGGTAAGAAACAAGATAGGGGCTGAACAAAGAGTGGAGGGCGGAAGTTTGTAACAGAGGGAAAGAAGCTGATGCTACTTCCAGAGCTGAAGGGCTGGGTTTATAGGGAAATCTGTTGCTCCTCTTATCGGAAACAAAAGATAAGCTGTGTCAGTTTGTGGTTTTTCTTCTGTATCTCTTTTTCA